GCCCAGCCCCTCTCTCCTCTTCGAAGTCCCTCTGCTGCACACTCCCTGCCCGGCACATCCAGCCTGGGGAAACCACTGCTGATGGTAGATCCTGTGGGATCGGGACAAATGTACCAGGAGAAAGGCAACATGGGGCTCCGGCCACACGGGTGTAGCGAGGCTTGGTGTAAGAGTGCAGCTGGGGTCATTTCGTGCTGCGTTTGCCCTCCTCGGTGCCCTGACAAAGTAACTGCAGAGCTCTGCTTGCCTTAAAAACACCTGCATTTTTCCTGCTAAACATCCTCCAGCAAATACAACCTTCCCTTCTCCTCTTCATTAAAGTCATGGGGGCTGCGGGAAGATGAAATCCTTGGACTGGAGCTCAAAGCCCATCAGGTTAGAGAGAGGGTTGTGATTTTCTGTGCTCAGCTCTGATGCAAGAGTGAAGCACAGCACCTCCAGCAAGATCAAAGGATAGTACCCTGAAACCTCTTTGACCTGGGCATCTGGAAGCACAACCCCAATATGAACGACTTGGGGTTGAAGGCAAGTAGCTTCGGAGAATAAATCCCTCTTCAGAAGTGCTGGAGGCTCCTTTGGCTCCCTACAACATACATGTCCAACCCAAAGTTTGCTCCATGGGAGTGTGGTGGTAGTTTCACAGGCTCCTCTATACGTTGAGTCGTTAGTGCTTTTCTTTTTTCCACATCCCATTAGTTTATTTAGAAGAGGTAATGGGCATTTTTCAGAGGTGCAGACACCACTTCCTTGGGGCTATCACGTCCAAAGAAAATTTCCTTGGGCTTCAGTGTCTGGGAGAGCTGGAAAAGAGCTTGGTTTCCCAACTCCAAGCTGCTCTTAGCTGCAGCTCCATCATATTTGGTGCGCTTGGCATAAGTGGATATTGAACATGATGTGGGGCCAAATGATTCCCTGCTGTAGCTCTGTGGAGCTCCATGGTGCCAGCCAAACTGAGCTCACAGCATAGCAAACATTGATGCTGGGGCTCTTCGAACTGAAATTATTCCCAAGATCTTTCTGCACCCAGTGAGTGAACAGTGCATGTTGTGACTTTGGCAGGTCCAGGAATCCTTGCTGGCCACACGTGGTCTTTGGGCACTGAAAAGGTTCCCAGAGGACCCAAAGATGTTGCTGGGTGCCTTCAGCATTCCCTTTCCACCACGGAGCAGTTAGCCAGGCTTACACAATTGCTCCAAGGGCTGTTGACAGTGCATCTAGTTGCTATTCCTTTTTATTATCACATTTGCCTGGTTTTTGTCAGAACTGAGACAGTCTTGCAAGGGAGCAAACCTTTGTGGGTATCTGGAAGCACTTAGCACCTAGCTGATGCTAACAGACTAGTAATGATAAGCAGATCTGATTTGTCTCTGATGATGTGGCCAGCGATGTTCTGAATCATAGCTTTAGTCATGCGAGGTTCAGCCACGTGATAGCTAACCCCCTTCTGCCTCTTTGACATTAATGCCAGGATTAAGAGGAAGCATTGTGGAGAAAAATGTTAGGGCATAACTGTAAGTAAATAAATGAATGTTTTATGTGGTTTAAAACCAGGGGCTAAGCTCAGCTCTGGTGTTTTTCTAAGATCACCCACACAAACGGTGGCTGCCCCTTGGCTTATGGGTGGTAACTCGGGGATGGGGTGGCACCTGGATCGCATTGTGCCCGGAACCCCTCTGGTCCTCACCCACCTTGCCACCTGCCCCAGATGACCTGCATTGTCGTGCCTCAAGGTTTGCCTGCCCTCTCAGTTTGTAAATAAGTTGTTGCAATATGTCGGTGCCTTCATCAGTCAGGAACTTCAGCATGGCTCGGGTTTATAAACCTCATCTGCATGTGTAACTGGCGGGAGCAGGGAGAGGATGGGGGGACCATCACTGGATGGGGAGCACAGCCTGATCCATCCTGGCCGTAGCTTTTTGCCCGCTTGTGCCCCATCCCTCCTTATGAGGTTGTTTTCCATCTGTGTGATGAGTTCTTGCTAAAGTCATTAATGTGGGATTAGAGGCAGAAGGTGGCACACATTATAAATTGGCCCAGAGGACAGTGAGGGACTGGGGCTGTGGGGGCTTGCTGGATGGCTCATGGAAAGCAGCAAGCGAAGGTGAGAGAGCAACATAGACAGCACACAGGCTCCAGCCTGGCATTTTCCTCCCCTCTTTCCATCCCTTAAACCCAACTAAAAGTTCATTTCTGAATAAGCCACACATCGCTTGCTGTGAATATCAACTACTCCCAGGCGAGGAGCACATCTGTGGGCACAGCAAAGCCAAACATGGGGACGTGCGTGGTGTTTGATTTGTCTCCGATGCAGATTCTCGAACAGATGCTTGATGTGTGCGTTGCACATCGGCTTATAGGGCGCCGTGTACATGACAACGGCTCAGAGGAGGAGGAGGAAGGCATCTTTTGACTGTACCCAACACAGATTTCAAGCTGAGCGCTCGCAGGAGCTGATGGGTGGCCTGAACACGTGTGGATCCTTACAGGCAATGTGGGTATTGGGCATTGCCTGGTTATGCCATGGTTGAGGAGAGCAACCCAGTGCGTTTTCACCTTGCAACCATGCAGAGTTGCACTGGGTGTGTCTTGGAACCAATGTGTTGTTTTTTTATAATATTTCCTTCCTGTCTGTTGAATACTGTAAAAGGAGTTTTCATCCAAAATTGTGGATTGTTCTCTTTCTTGACATTATGATGCTACAGTCTCCTGAGATCCTGATGGCAGGAACATTTGTTTTCTGCAGCTTAAAACAAATGTTGAAGAGCTATTTCTACCAGGCAAAATGTTTTGGGGTCTAGTTTCCTTGCTAGTTAACAGTTTTAATTGAAAAAGCAGTCAATAAGGATATAATGCATTTTGTAATGGCATCATTCTTCCAAGGTTGTGGAAAATGCTATAATTAAGCTGATAATTAAACCCTGTGAAGTTAGTTATGATCCCTGGCAAAGGCACAGGGAAGTCATGAGCAAGGGTTTGCCCGAAGTCTTGTTCTGAGTCAGACACAGAACCCAGGAGTCCTGGCACCCGCTTTCTCATGAGTCATGTGTAGGACTAAGTCCTGCCTCTCCTCTGTGGATGAAATGACATTGTATAAAATGCAAATTGAATAACTCAATATTTTGGGGTCGCATATGGATAGGATGAAATATATGCATGGGCAGGTACTAGAATCTCTTTAAAATGCAAATTGTTTTCTTGATAATCTGGCTAATTTCTTTAACCCAATTTGCATCATAGTGTATGGTTTTGTTACTGCCTTTCCCTTGAAGTGATGTACTGCAATGTAAATAGCCCCGAATCCGCTGTCACCTTGCATTACCTTCCCCAACATGATCCAACGTGCTGTGACTGATACAATCCGACTTGATGTCATAAACCAACGCCTCCCATGGGGAAGAAGAAGGAACGCATTTTTTCATTGCCCATAAATGTTTTAAAGAGTGGCTTTCCAAGTGGTGGGATGCTCATCCCTTTCCTTTTCTGCTTAATAAGCTGTCCCAGAAATGAGTGCCATCCTGCAAGTGCTCAGCCCGCTCCAGCCCTGCAAAGCCCTTCAGCATGTGCTGAGTCCTGAAGGTGTGAGCAACTTCAGCAGCTGGATGGGGTCTTCTTGCACGTTACGGCATCAAAGCTATTACGAATCCCCGCAGGGTTTCCTTTCAGAGCCCCCGCCGCTGGCTCACCCCCAGGATATTCGCTCTTGTCTTCATGAAATTATGGGCAGAGCCTGGTGAATAGAGATCAGTATTCTAGCAAACAAGCATTTTGACTCTGCTTATTTTCACATTGTGTTTCTGCAAAGATAAGGACACGGAGAGATTTCAATCAGCAGTGCATATGCTCAGATCAAGCATATGAAATATAATAAAAAGGACAGATAGCAGCAGCATGCATTGCACGTGATAAAGCTGTCACGCAGGGCTGCTCTAGGTACTGCAGTCAATAGTGACGTTTTAATAGTAGCCCTTGCATTGATCTGTTTTAGTCTGATGGTTTTAGGCACTTCTTACACCTAATGATTTAGCAACGGCAACTACATGGAGAGGTGGATGCAGTCATTTCCAGCTGAATTTGAATAAAAAACAACCAAGAATACTTACAGTTGCTGATTCTGTTTCCAGATTTGAAGGAGGGCTAATATCCACTGGTCTAATAATATGTAGGAGGATGTGTCTGCAGACTGATAGACAAAGGAGAGGCATATAGACATTTAACTACCCTGTTCAGAGAAACAGGTATTTTTAAGATCCTTCAAGAGGCATGGATTTTTTGCAATTTTCATTAAGCATCACAGAAGTTCTCCAAGGGAAAAGTAATATTTGCTACAATAATCAGATATACTTCAAACAGCCACATGCCTCATTTACAAAACATACAATGTACTGGAGGGGCTTGGGACTGCATAGGCTCGGTTCATTAATGGCAGGAGCAGTCTCCTCTTCCTGCTAATGGCACTGGAGCCGTGTCTACACTGCCTGCTCTGCATGCTGAGCACACAGGGCTTTTGAGAGACGGATGCTGATGGGAAGCTGGAATGAAATGCCTGGTGGATTCACTATAGTCTGCTCTTCCCTCTGCATGTGCTCCCTTCCTCTGGAGGACGGATTTGTCCTGTAAAAGCTTTGCAGACACCTGGCTGTTTGGCGGCTCTGTAGAGGGGAAGAGCCCTGGCCGGGCTGGTGGCTGCTGTCCTCCTGCCAGAATTTTTTTTTTTTTTTTGAGAAGTGAGTTGCCTACAAACTCTCTGGGGCTGGGGAATGACCATTCATCTCTATTGGTGCATCTCTACCTGATGCTGTCTTCAGGTGTGGTTATGCCACAACACAGGCCATTCATTGGCATAACAACAAATTTGGGTCTGCAGGCACCATGAAGTTGGTGTAGGAGGTACCATAGTGCATGTACAGGTCCATGAGACGCAGCAGATCCAGAGCAACATGTTGGACATTGGCACTAAGTGGTGCTTCAGTGAAAACATTGATCTTTTTCTTTCGTTCCAGGGGATGGCCAGGTTGATTTTGATGAATTTATGACTATTCTGGGACCTAAGCTGGTATCATCAGAAGGCAGAGATGGCTTTCTGGGAAATACAATAGACAGCATATTCTGGCAGGTAAGTAGCCATTTTCTTAAATGCAACTTTAGCTGACTATCAATAGCTTCCAGAATTGATTTGTTGAGGAGCATGAGATGTTTTGCTAAGTGTGAATGCTTGTGTAGAGGTTATTCGGGTCCCTCTCATTGTGTGTTGTGTAAGATCCCGTGTTGCTGGAAGGACCTGCTCTCAGCTAAGCCCTGTGCGGGAGGAAGGCAAAACACTTACTGGGGATGAACTGCAGTTAATAACCCAGTTATTTGTGCAACATGTTTGGGAGCATTTTGGAATTCATTTTTGGAAGGGAAAAACATTTTTCTTGATGAGTGAGTCTTTTGAGTTAGGAACCTTGAACCTGTCCGGCTGCTCCCAGAAATGTGCAATGTCCCTTGGCTGTGGCGGAGGGATGCTCCAAGCAGAGCGAGGTGTGCGCGCAGGTCACGTCTGATCGGTGCTTCTGCAGTTCGTTCAGATCCGGGGCTGAGGATAACCATGATGTGCCAGTGCAAGATTTACTCATGGTGCTGCCCTGGGGTGGATTGGTCCTGCCGGTTTCAGGCGTTGGAGGGGAGGCAGGTCTGGCAGCAGGAGCTGCCTGGCATCTGTGGTGCAGTGTGATTCTAAACAGCGTTAGACCTTCCTGGAAAAGCAAGGACAGTCCAGGCTGTTACGACAGGGATTAAAAATCTCCTAAAACACAGTGCTGCACATTTCTTGCCAATGGATTAAATGTGTGTCTTCCTGTGAGATTACTGCTCATTTCATTGATCATCCAACAGCCTTTGCTTGCTAATAAACTTTAAATGTTACCAAGTTTATGTGAATCAAAAGAGTCAAGCCTGGATATAAGCATTTCTGTCTTCCTTTACTACCCTGCGGTGCTGCCCAGACTGAATTGGGTGGAGCTTTGTAAAAGCCTTTAAAAAGTCTTTTAAAAAATTGTTCCTGACCTCCTGGCATGTGATAGGAATAACCCTGGAAATCCTGCTCTGGATTCTAGTATTTGGTTTTCAAAGCAAGAGTTTGGTGTTGGTGAAGCCACAGTGGTTTGTAACGTATCTGGAGGGGTGCAAGAGCTGAACTCACACCACGAAGGGCAGGGCTGTGCAGTCACGAACGCTTTATTGCCTCCATTGCACCTTGCAAGGCTCATCCCAGCATGTGGGCACGAGGGAGAGGAGGAAGCACCACCCCGTTCCCCTGAGCCCACACACCCCACCAAAACCCACCTCACCAGAGCCATTCAAGAAACAAAAAAACCCTTTGGGGAAATCAAGTTCATGAGCTGAGCTCTTCAATGGGGAAGCAGAGAACTCTGGAGGCCTCCCTAAAATTCAGCTCACAGGTTAACCCGCTGCCGCTCAGTGACCCTTCAGCCCAGGGGAATGCCGGCAGTGGCTTTGCGCAGAGCAAGCGAGGAAGGGAGGATGTGTGCTGCTTTTAGAGCAGCAGGACTCCTGGGCTCGGCTTTTGCCTTGCTCTTCCGTGCAGCAGGGACCACGGCCCTTGTGCCCGCCCAGGGCTGCGGTGGGACGAGTGAAGAGTGCGGAGACTTCAGGTAACCGGCCCCACGGTGGGATGGGACAGCCCTGGGGGTTGTCCGCAGGCAGTGAAGCTTTGACGGAATTGGACAAATGCTCCGGGTCCTTGGAAAAAAATGTTTATGGTCTTTTACTTGTAAAGGTAAAAACGCATCTCTTTACATAGCACTTTCCTGGATTTCAAAGCCCTTGAAGAGAAGGCTTCATCTCACAGTTCATTTCTCCTGGAATAGGAGAGATCATGAAGAATATAGTGATTTTGCTGCTTATTCCCAAAGAAAAAGCAAGGATGAAGCCACGTAGGGAAGTGCCATTCAGGGAACAAGTTCCCTTTGCCCATTCCTACGTGGCTTTAGCCATGCCATCTGCAGGGTCATAAGTCCCCTTGTCTTTAAGCAAAGCATTTATGTATCTGCATTATCTCCTGCGGGATTACATCTGATTTGAAACAAAGCCCTTCTTGGAATCGGGGCCTGGCTGTCTTTTCCATATCCCCTTGATGTGCATTTTTCACATTTGCTGGAAAGGAATGGCAGGGACAGGGGGATGAGTTTGGGTTGCTGATAGAGCACTTCACCCCTGCAGGCATCCCCAAGGAATAATTTTAAGGAGGGGATAGTGCCCACAAGCCTGTGGTGCGAGTGGTGCTAGGTGAAAAGGGCAGTGAGGGTGGGACAAGAAGGGACAGCTCTGCCTTGGTGTCAACTGGCCGGGCAGTGCTGCCATGAAGCCTCACCCCGAAGCTGCAGGCAGCAGAGGACATCTTGAAGAGGCTCTTATGTCAGTCCCGAGGGGAGAGAAAATCCATGTTGGCATCCAGAAAGTGCCTTCCCCTCTTCCATCCAAACAGTTTCCCTCCAACTGTCACGATTTTGGCTCATGCGGTATTTTTGCCGAGGGTCCAGCTTTCTATGCTGTGGCACTTCTGTGCAGACTCAGTTCCAAGTGTGCCTTAATAACACTTTCAATAATGCAATGACAGAGTTAAATAATAAACAGCAGCAGAAGGAGAGAGGAATTCAAAGGAACAGACGAGGGCCTGGAGATGCATTTGTAGACGAAGCTGGGGGTGAGTTGGTGGGATACAGGAAGGCGGTTCCAGATGGCAGAAGCTGCAGAGGGGAAGGATCTTACAACAACAGCAGTGGGGCTGCAGGAGACTGGGAGGGGGTAGAAGCAGTGGAAGAATAGGTAGGAGAGAGAGGGATCATATGTGGAAGAGGCAGGCTTGAAATAATAGGGAAAGGATGCATCCCTCCTATCATCACATGTGTTGCCTAAAGAGCGATGGTCAGCCCAGGAGAAGCAGGATTCGGCCGAGACCTGAGCTTTGGTAGGTACTAGAGACACGGAGGGACCCTCATATGTTTTCCCTCCTTGATTTCCCATGTGGACTTTAAATTGAGTCGTATCGGTGTGTGTTTAAGAAGTCTGACTCTTGCTTTCTCAGGTAGCGGTGATCAGTTCTGCTCCAGTTAGAATGGTTCTCCATGGTCCCTCAGTCGGGAGGTGCTGAGGGGAAGGGAAAAATCATCCCTGCAAATACTGTTTCAGACCCAGTCAATATAGACCAGTGATACCAGGAGAGCAGAGGAAACATGGACTCTCCTCTGTCTCGGGAAGTCTGCCTTTCCTGAGTGAGATGCAGCACACACCAAGCACTGTTTTGTGGAGAACATCCCCGGGTGCCTCCTGCTCTGTTTCCAACTGGTTTTCTCACCCTCGTGCCAACTGTGTGCAAATGGAAGTAACATGTACCCATGCACAGACATCTTTAACTGTCTTAAATTTTTAAGGCACCCTTAAACTATCTTAAATATTTTTTCTGAAATACACAGCTGCCCAGTAACCAATAGCCAGTCCTCTGTGTGCAGGATGATGGTCAGGAGGAGTTTGAAGGATGGAAGCACCTGGTGAAGCCCCGTTCTCCCTGGTTTGGGGCAGAGCTGCCATGGCAAGCTTGCAGCAACAACGCAAACATCCTCTTTGGCTGCTTCCACACGGTCTGCATTTATTAAAAACAAAATGCAAAAAAAAAAAAAAAAGAAAAATCATAGATGAGATTTTGGGAGTACCTCATGAGCCGTGTTTTGGAAGGCAGTGGGAGGAGGTGAGCCTGGCCCTGCGCAGGGGTGTTGGACCTCGCATGGTCTCTCATGGGGTGTCTGCCCCCTTCCCTTTCCATCTTTTTCCCTCTGTATATTTTAAAGAGTGGCTATCCATTGTTCACCTTCCTCTGCCCACCTTCTCTGAGCTGCTTCTGCTGGTGCTCACGCTCATTGTCCTGAAGCTGATTTCCTTCAGTGTGTCCAGCAGTGTTTTTGCAGTGATTCGGTAGCTGTTAGGTGGTACAACGTGAGATACAACATGAGATGCTACTTGGTCAATTTTGAGGCATGAGAATTTGTTTTTCCAGAGCTCAGGAAGTATGAGTCTGGTTCCAGTTATGCGCTGAGGGCTGTGTTTTGTACAAGTGAGTTTTGAGACATTTCCAACGCATGGCCATTCAGGTCTGTAAAGCAATTTAGATCAAGAGCATTACAGAAAAGACAAACACTACTGGTAAATAGTAGCTCCTTTTTTTTGGCAAACAAATTCCAAATCTGTCCCCTGTGCCCTGCCATTCTGCACCAGAGAGAGGGATGAAAAGAGAGAGGAGAAACTGGCATTTCATATTCATTTACAGTTTTTGCCCAGACTGTTTTTAAGTGCAAAGAACTTCAGGCACAATGTTAAATAGTTTGCACAGGATGTAGTGTAGAGGATCTCCATCCCTGGGGGTAAGCAACAGCAAGAGAAGTAATTATAATCTTGGATTATAGGCTTTTAAGTAAAATAAACCTCTCTGTTTTGGCCAAAATGCTTTTTGAAGTCGGAACAAGTTTGAATGGTTAAACAACAGGGCTGCATCTGCACCAGATGCAGAATAAATTCTATACCCAGCAGCACTGATGAGATTATTTTGAAAAGTCAATATTTTGTATGATGATCATCTGAGAGGCGAAATGTTGCCTGTTATTTTTTTCCTTCTCTCTTTACTGTGTGCACGTGGAAGCTGCAGGGAACATCATTTCAGCCAGAGCTAATGCATTGCCTGTGCAAGGGTATCTGGAAGCTTTGTCTTGCATGAGGGGACAGCACTGTATCATCTGCTGAGACGCGCTGCCCGTTCGTCGCATTAGATATTGCCCAGTATAATTCACCGGTGTTCAGGAGGAGGCTGGTTGGTTTGGGATAAATAAGGCTGCTTTGCAGGAGCAGGAAGGCCAGAATACCAACGCAGTGCTTCGGGTGGGGAGATGCTGCTCAAAGATCTCATTTTTTCACTGCAGCGATATCTCTGCAGTTTTGCAGGGGGACAGCCGGAGGATGGGGAGGCAGGTCACAAGCAACTGCTCATGTTTTCTGGGCTTGGGAAAACTCTTTTTTGTCTCTCCAGGCTTCCACATACCTTTGTTCAGGAGGAGGAATACGTTG